CCAGAGTCGAGCAAATCTGCCAGCCAAATTACCATAAAATTTACATAAAAGCTTCCGTGTAAAATTTATTTAAAACAAATAAAAAGTAACATCGGCAAAAAGGTAAACAAAGTGCACAAAATCCTGGGGACACTACATCTTCGGCTGGGCGGAAGCCACCAGAGGTTGTCTTGTTGGCCAGGGCCATAAACATAAACATAAACATAAACTGCCGGGCTGTCCAGCAGTGGCAGACAACAATTGGCAACAGGTGTAGGCCAGGCCAAGACAAACCTGCGCCCAGGTCTTGCCCATGTTCTTAGCCCTTATCTAATACAGTCAAGCTCCGCTAAGCCAGGCAGCTGTCAGGCACACTAATGGTACTTCATACCACCAAATGTTTAGTACACAAATATAGAGTCCCCACTGTAGCAGAAGCGATGCGACAGCACAAAGGCCCAACTCGTAGGAAGGGACAAGTGTGAAGCCGAGACCGGGACACGTGGTCCTCTATTTGAAACAGGTCTTAACTTGGCTTTGACAATTTGGGCTGCCCCCCGGAGAAGTCGGAAACGGTGCTGGGAGCCCGTTGCCCGTTGCCCGATTGTGTTATAACATCACCAACGGATCCCGTCCCAAACCAAGACCATGCCATCCTGTTTGTCCGAGAGTCCGAGGGTTGTTGCTCAAGCCGTTGGCTTTTGTCTGTCAATTTTTGTGTTATTGTGGAACGCTGTGAGGTGAGGTTACTACGTGCAGGGTCCCAGTGCCTTTTCCAATGCCTCTCAAGGCCTGTCATTGTGCAAATTTACAGTTTTCCGCCAGTCGAGTGGCTCCGTTTGGGGAAATCTACGAGATTGTGTGGCATCAAATGCGACACTAAAAAGACAAACACGTTTTGTATCGAGCCGAGAAATTCCCCTGGTAGCCGGGCTCAAAATTAGCCGAATGAAAAGGTTGAAAGGTGGCTAGAGGATGGTGGCTCCTAGGCAGCCTAGACTTCCTGTGCCCCTATCTGCAATTGGGCAGCAGCCAACTGTTGGCCATGTGAGGCCGAAATATAGCGAGGAGGAAATTAAGTAATTATGCACTTGACTGGCCGTTTTTACAACTGCCCAGGAGCCAACAAGCCAACGTGCCAGCATGCCTGGCACTCCATTTGGGCCGGCTTTTTGCACCGCCAAAAATTAGGTTGTCTTGTTCCTTGGAACTTTAATACGCAGCAAACATATGTGTTTCAGTAGTTTAATAATTATAAACCAATGTAAAAATGTAATTTGTATACACTACAAAAACTATAGTTTCTGTGCCTTTTTATTCTTAAATGTGTTCTTTCACACTTGTATAGTTTTCATTTAATAATAATTGTAATATTCTGGCAACATTAGTTCAATTTATTTCTTCTTCGACACTATAATATCACAGTTTTATCAAAGGAATTTCAAAAAAATTGTCATCAAGGAGACTCACCTCTCATTATAAAGCCACACTTTTCGGCAGTGTAAAAAGCCTACTCGCACACATTTTCGCCAGTCCCAGATGCAGTTGTAGTAGCCATCTAAGTCCCATTTCCAGTCCCTGGCCTTATGCAGATACCAATACCAATTTCAGTGGGTTCCACCGAAAATGGACTGGCCAAAACACACACGAACTGCAGGCTGCTGCCATTGACGGAGCGAATATTGGCCCATTGGCATCATGTTCGATTTTGCAGACACAGGGACGTTTTGTCTTTAACTAAATTATAGCCACTGCCCATGGACACATGGATCGGAAGTGCAGGCACGGAAGAGGAAGCGGAAGTCGAGGACAGAAAGGCCAAAATGGCTTCTCCTTGGCCAACAGCTTTAGCTCCAGCTCCAGCTCCAGCTCCAGTTTCATCTGGCTGAAATGTGCCAAAAACTGTCGGTAAACGAGTCCGGTGGCAGCCGGTGGAAGCCTGCAACTGACGTGATATCACCCAACCTCAAGTTTTGAGCCGGACCCGGGAATTTGGCCCCGCCCGGCAGTCAATAGTCAACTAAACTGCATCAAAACTGTCTGCCAAGTCAGTTGGCTCTCCCCAGGTCCGTCCTCCTGTCTCCCATCCGTAGCCATCTCCCTGTCTCTGGAGCGATATCGATATAAGGCATTACCTGCTAAACTGTTTGGCAGCATCGCACAGCCTGCGAATCGGCATCGGCATCGGCATCGGGATCGGGCAGAACCAGGTGGAATCCGGCGACGGAGAGATGGAGAGATGGAGAGATGGAGGCGGCATGTCAAACAGTTTTGCAATTGTTTCGAAATTGTCTCTCGTGCAAATGCAATTTTCTTCAATTTCATTTGGGCGGAGGCGGCGAAGAAGTGGCTTCCATTGCCAGTTGGCAGTTGGCCTCGGTCAGGACTTGGCCTCATCCGCACGGATACACCGAGGATGAAGAACGCCAACTAAATTACGCAAGAACATTTTACTTGGAGGACGATTCCGTAAAATATATTATCTGCAATCAATTCGATTGCATCTCTACATGTTCGAAACTCTTATTCAACGAGTTAGTACTTAACCTCGCACTAATTGTTAATGTCTCACAGAAATATATGTATTTAATAGTTTTTCTGCGGTGTAAAAAAGCTGTGGAAGAGCTTAATCTATTACATAAAACAAATTGCAGATTTGCTCATGTTTTCCCTCAGCATGACATTTAAGTTACTCGATTCTTCCATTTGTTTGTTGGTTACGTTTTGCAAAGGCTTAGAAAGGGGCGGTCTGGCTAAGCGTGGGCGTGGCACAGGTGGTAATGGAGTCTTTGGCAGTCGGCCGATAAGCTTGATTTCTGTTCTGTCACAGCCCTATTTGGATTTATGTCCACCGACATGAGTGACCACAGAAATGGATCGTTTGGGCTCCAGAAAAACATACAGATTAGAAAGATTTCGATTTCTAATTTCCGGCATGACGTATACTAGTATGAATAAGGGAGATTGGAGGGAAGGGAAATTGGATCTGGGAGACATTTAGAAGAAGACTTTTTATTACAATTGATTAAGTCATCACATCCTTAAAATCCTTTTTTTCCAATTTAATATCGTCCTCATCTAAATGCACTCCATCACCAGCGAACAATTACGGGCTCAAAATGCAACAATTTTATTACACAAAGCTTATGGTCAGACTAACAAATATATCAAAGCTAAAAGCCTGGAACACTCGCAAAAATACCAGAAAAACACAGACACACCCTCATCCCCAAATCCAACCATGATGATCCCAGCGAGCTCCCCAATGAACAATGGTCCAATGTTGACATAATAAAACGCACATAACTACTGGGAAAGGAGGGGGGTGAAAGGACACAAGGCCGCAGATGCCACAAATTCCGATTTTCCACAAACACACACTCTGAAACACCCATATATGGTCAGTAAAAAATGTTATTAAAAAATATATATGCCATAAAGAGCGTGGCAAAAAGAGGAGTGAGGGCCGGCTGGCAAAGTTGGAAATCATATAAAAGAGAAATCAATGCAAAACTATGGGATTTAAAAGGGCTTTAAATCGGCCAAGAATATGCAAGGCCATGGGTCATAAAATTGCGGTTTCATTACACAAAAAACCTCAACCATGACATGAAAGGATAGAGCAGAGACGGTATAAAATATGCTATTAAATCTACGTTGGAATGTTGGCAGCCACAAGAAAAATAGATGACACAAAAATAACCGAAGAATCGGGCTCCTTCTGACCACTCGATATGTATCCATATCCCCATGCCAGAGTAATTCAGAGTTAACGATGTGTAAATACTTAGGGGCTTAAAATGCAAAGGCCAGTGCCTCAACCGCAATTATGACAGCAGCAGCCTCCGTGAAGTGGATTTTTGGGTGCAGTCCGAGGCGACCAATTACTTCTGGCCCGATGGCAATGATTTGTCCCCGGCTCCTGGAAGGGCTAACAAAATTGCAGCCTCTTTTGCTGCACAAATGAGCCACATTGTAGTGGAAAAGGGAAACAGGGCCGAGACAACTAGTAGACCACATGGACACAATTACCGACAACGACAATTACCCGCCGGCAATTTGCTGGCATTAACACCCATCGCACCATCGCAGGCAATGGCTTTTATAACTTCTTCAGAGCCGGGAAACTGAAAGCTAAAAGCTGAAAAACCAAACCGAACCGATGGAGCGGAGGAGCAAGGCTGAACCTGCATAAATTTATTATGACCGCGATGAGATTGCAACGACAGAACGGCAAATACGACCTTGAGGAGCACCTGGATGGTCTACGTGATGCCCTTAGGGACAGGGCTTCATTGCATTGTTACATTCCCCTCTTAGGACCAACCCAGGCTCCATCATCATCATTAAAGCCTGGCCAATAAATTCGCAGCGTCCAAAGCGATTTGCTAAGGCTTTTATTGTCCGGCCAGCATCAGGTGTGGATGGCTAAAATTGAATTAAATGCCAATACTCAAGGGAGCTTAAAGAGAACCGTCACGTGAGGAAAAAATGTTTTAAAGGTACTGTGTTAAGGCCTTGGGAAAATTGTTGATAAAATACGAGCATAACTGAATGTATCTCAGCTACGTGTCTGAAAATTTCCTAATCTGGATAGATGTTCATCTCTTAAAATTAGTTTGAGGATTAAATATATTTTCCAAGTTTCTTTCTGTGCAACTTTTGTGTTTCACATGCTCACGCAAGTCAGAGATCAAAGGGACTGGTCCTGAGACCATAATAAAGCAGCAAAAAGATACAAATCCTAGGGGCGTTTTTGAGCCTAGGCCCATGGGCCACGCCCCTCCATTGCATGCCGCGTGATTTAATGAGTTGCACAGACACTGATTTATGCCTAATGACTGGGCCTAAATCGTTCCGCCCTTACACAATCTGCCTTACCACCCGCCACCGAAATGGCCCAAATTCTCGTATACGTATGCAAATTAAGCAAGTCAAACAAATGCAAAACTAAATTGCTTGAAATAAAACTTTTTGGCAGATTTAAGCCGCACATTGAGGGGACATGGGGACATGGGGACATGGGAACCTCGGGCTTCGGGCTTCGGGTGCTGCAGAAGAATGAGAATCACATCAGAAGTGAGCAAAACAGATTTGTCACAAAACCACAACAGCCAGTAAATCAGCATAAAAGGCAAATGCAAGTCAAAACATTTCAGAAATTATGACCCCGGCCAAGGGCCGTTCAACAAGAGGGAAAAGTGGGGGCCATCGGGTCGTCTGCCACAAGTCCAAGCCGCAAACTGAGTGGGCCTGCGAGGAGCGGGAAATGGCCGGGTTCCAATGGGCGTGGACTCGGATTCGGATTCGGAATCGGATTGGAGCTTGGGGCTTGGGCTTGGGTGTTGCTGAGCGGATTGGGGACTGGGCCAATGATAATTGCCAATGCTGTGGGCGAAGGAGCACATTCCCAAGCGAATCGCATTCCCGAAATTTAACAGCACCCAGGAAATCGAAGGCAGGAAAATCAAATCACAACACACCCTTTTGGGTATTAAGTATTTTTAAACTAAAACATTCTTAAACTGTGTTTATAATAAGATAAAATAATCTTAGCTTAACATTCCCATCCACTCATTATTATTTCTATCCTAAAACTCAATCCTATGGAGTTACAATAAAATGGTAAATGGTTACTTGATCATTTATTAAATAAGAACGTATAGATTACTGGCTGAAGTTAAATTTAAATTAAATTGAACTGTGTTCTTTTAAAACAAATTAAATTCCCCAATAAATGATTACACATGTAAACTGAAAATGATATGGCTGCTGTTGTATTATCGACTGCATCTGTTGCACATGTGATACCCCAAGAAAGCGTATGAAAGCAGGAAAAAGAAGTCGGAGGAAAACCCAGTGTCCAAATCCCTCTGAATCCCAAAGGCACATACTAAAGCCGACGAGTATCTGTGAAGTAGCTGCAGCAGCAACAGCAGCTGAATTTCATAAATGCAATAATTGCTGCTCCAGCTGTGTGCGCTTGTGTGTGTGCGGCGCATTAGTGTGTGTCTGTGTCTGGATGCATGCGAAAAAGATGCAAATCAGACGGACAGCTGGACACCGGCAGACGAACCAGCTCACTCTTGTAAGCATAAATAAGTCGTCCGAGCCGCCTCCCAAACCACGCCAAAAATCTAACGAGACCGTATTCATTACAGCCGAAAGAGTGGCAATGCACTCAGAGAAATCAGAAATGCTCCACATCATCGGTATTAAATATTAGCATTAGTGAATAATAGCTTGGAATAGTTTCCCATAATCCAGCTAGTTTACCACTTCAATTTGTCTTTTCGCAGCATACATTTCATTGACTAACAATTTTTTTCCGCGTGCGATTCCTCTGCCCATCTTGGCCAACTAGAAGTGGTTAAAAGGGGTTGGTGAGGGGGAGGGGGAGGCGGAGTGGAGTTCGGGCGGCACAAGGGCATAACAAACAGCTTGTTGTTGGCTGGCTCAGTTGGGCAGACATCGGAGTAGCAGTGGTCCACTGACACTTCCGTTTAGGCTTTGTTTTTTCTTGTTCTCCGCTCTGTTATAACTCATGCTGGCAAAAACAAAGCAATTAAAAGCTTTAACTTAAAGCACAACATCACATTTGTTTTACTCCACAGCAGAGCACATGAATTTATGCAAATACAGTGGCTATATGCTTTAGTCCACAAACTGGCTCTTGCTCGAAAAGTTTTAACATCTAGTGCTGATTAACTATGTACTTTATGAAACTGTTACATTCACGAAATATTCGCAAAGAAATTATGTTAACAAATGTGCTCCAATTCAGGCTTGAGTACTAGCAGTGTTCACTGTACTTTTGAGCATACAATTTTCATGCCTTTATTTATTTATGGTTGGCCAGTCTGATGCTTATTAAATAGTTTTGCATTCGAAATTTATTTCGGCCAAAAATCTCCTTTTTGGGGAGCAATAATTTTTGGCTTTTGGCACACGTTCACACACACACTCACTTACAGGCATTTGACTTTTAAAAGTCGAGTGCGTTTCTATTTCAATTTATGGATATAAATAAAGCATACATTTTCTTAGGCATTCTGGACTTTTAATTGAGGCAAATATCATTTAAGAGCATAAAGATGGAATATGAGCGTGTTTGCCAAATTAGACGGTAAATTCAAACCGACTTTGGATTTAAATGTATTCTACTAATTGAATGGAATATTAAGTACATGAGCGTTGGTATTCCAGAGCTGCTTCAAATCTAGCGCATTTCTGTGCTGGTATTTCAGGAAATTCCGAAGGAAGGGAAGGCCATGGAAAATTCTGTGGAAATGACAGGGCGTGTCAAGTCCTGCCAAACAAAACGCACACATGCGTGGGGGTCCCACCCTTTTCCCGACTTCATGCTACTTAAACTTCAGCAAAATGTTCTGTCATTTTGACAACATTTTCCGACCGAAAGACAAAAACCCAAGGAGGGCGAGGAAAACTATCGCCATGAAGCCAAGTATTAAGCGACGTGAGCGCTGGCGAGCAGAGAAAAAATGCCGGAAAATTGTGAAAGCCAAGAAAAACTAACATAACTGCAAAGCGAAAATGTGCTTCAGCAATAATAGATTCCCACACACCGAGAGATGGGTTTGTGTTTGTGTTCCACGCAAAGTGCAGATCAAATGCAGTTAACTAGCTTGTTGACATCTTCACACACAATTTGCTGACAAACACAAACAAGCAGATTCAAGCTATTCCACCATTTTTTCCTTATCCGGTCGCCTTTGTTTCACTGGCGCTTACTTGAGCCAAGAGTTTGGACAAAAGTTTGCATCCACGTCATAATATGGTTAGCAGAGAAAATTGTCAAAGAAAAATATGCTCAACAATCAATCAAGTCTGCAGTTGTGCCTTGCTAAAAATAATATAAACGCATAAATATTTAAGTATCAACGCATACCATTTCCAAATTATTAACAATGCCACTTGAAACACTTTAATATTTTATTTCTATCGCAAAATCAGCAGCTTTATAACGCACATTAGGCTAAAAAGCTTTTCCATCGCTTAGTATTAGTAAGAGTTTCAAAAGCTGAACTCCTCATAACACCATAACCAAAATAACCAAATTAGTTATGTTTTTCTAGATTTTCCTTGGTGTGCCAGCATCATTTGGAAGCACTACGTGCATATATAAATAAATGTGTGAGCGTGCGGTATACGAATTTATTTTTCATATGTTGAGTAAAATGAAGAAAAACAATGTTGTTGGCCAAAAGGATTGCCGGTGCCGTGCGATTGCTACGTGCGTTTGCAACACATTGTAGCATAAACACCCAGAACTCCCCCTCTCAGCTACCCGAAGTGTCCCCCAATGGGGGCACTCATGCAAAAGTAAACGATTTTTAAATGCAATTCCACAAATGGCCCGGCAGAAGCTCACTGCTTCGTCTGACATTGTCGCAAGCAAGTTGTCCAAATATATTATATGGCCAGATTAAAATTTTATGCCCAGCCAAAGATAAAATTTTTAAGAGCATTTTGATTTGCCCAGCACACACCTGGGGGCTCAAGACATAAATCGTTCCATGGAAAATGCATGCCAGTCCATAACAAAAAATGGCATACCCAAATATGTGTATCCTGTAAGCGTTTGACAGTCTGCATTCACGGCTACCTCACATTTCAGTGCAGGCATTCAATCTCATCCCGAGTAGGGATTGCCGAGGATTACGAATCCCAGCTGCTCCGGAAGTTAGCCAAGTCCAGTTCTTGACCCCCACATAAGTCCAGGAAACTGTTGCTGCATGCCACATGGCAGCCAGACGCACAGCCATTCGCATTCGCATTCGCACTCGCATAGTTTTGCGGCCTGCATGCCAAAAAGGTGCCCGCTCCCAGGACCTTTGGCAGAAAAAAGATAGCTTCCCGTATACCCTAGCTACGAGTATAGTCGCAACGAAACACTGTAGCAAAAAAATATATCGATCCTACAAAACCTTTTATAACTCTCAACTTTAATGAATTGAATAATTATGATAAATAACACAAATTGTTAAATATAAAAGGTGCTTATGCTTGAATTTGAAAGCTTTGTATTTCAGTGTAGGGAGTGTCCTGTAACTGACCCGTCCCAATTGTATTTCCATTGCAAAGGCGTGTGGGTCATTGCGGTTCAAGCGGCCAAATAAAATTTCTCTACAACTCACTAAAGGCTCTTGTTTAGTATTCAAGGCTCTGCATTCTGCTGGCCGGCGATTGCAGTGAAAGTGCCAGGTCACCTAAGAGTATTTTCCTTAGATTTTTCTCCGTGAAAATCGCAGTCTTCGATTATGGAAGGTTGCATACTTTGTCGAACACAGGGCATGCACAAAATTTCAGAAATATGCCGGCCAGTTCGTGTGTGTATCTGGAGTCTTGTGTGAGTGTATCCGGATGCGGATCCGCATCCGCATGCGAATGCGTATCTGCGAGATTGCCTACTGAAACTCATTTTTTGTGACTTCGGTCCCAGACGAAAGTCAGTCAATGGTACAAGCAGCAGAAGGACGAAGGCGGAAAACAACAGGAAAGGCCAAAGCAATGCAATAAACGTAATTACAATTGAAACGTCCCTGGATGAGAGTTGGTTAAGGGACCCAATAACAACAACATGTTTGTCAACCGGCATACATTGGAATTTATCAATAATTCCCACACAGACGGCTCCGCAGTCCTTTCCTTTGGCAATTACACACACGACCTGGTCCTGGACTCTCGCTCATGCTCCTTTGAGCCCTTTTTTTCCAGGACATCCAATACAATGTTCAGTGCACGTGTTCATATCCATTCCGAACATATCCCACAGCCAGGCCGTATTTCATTGAATCGCCTGCAGTTGTGGCATCTGAAGCGACTTTGTGTTCACTTCGATGCTCACATAAAAATATCTTATGGACCAATTGCTTCACGTTGCATAACACTTAGTTACAGAACTTAAAATATAATAATTAATACAAGTTTAGTGAGCGTTTGCAGTCATCATTCCATGTATTTTGCTACCATTCTGTTCGCAATTATGCTTAGAGTTTTTACTCACATTGTTATAACATGCACTTGTGCGACAGGCATTTAGTTGTAAACTAAACAGT